CAAAGACTCTCTTCTTCTACGAATGTGCTGACATCATGATAATGTAAATCCAATAGTTTTGTTGCTGAATATCTTAGGCGGTGCAAAATATCCACAGAAAGAATCTGGTTATAATAAAAAATGTACATTTATTTGTTTAAAAAATTAAAAGTTTATCAAAGCAGATAAATTATCACTGCTTGTCTTTCTGAGGAATTTAGAGACAGTGATACAGTGAACTGAAGGAATGAAGGTTTTCGCCGCTTGTTGTATACATTATATTTCTAACGTAATTTGACTGTACAGTTAAATTGTATTAGATTACATTAGATCAGATTCGAGACTAATTTGCTAAGCTATATCTGAGATATACACTTCCTGACTTTCAATTTACGAATCATACAAATGAAATAAAATGAAATGGGGTTTAACGTCCTACTGTTCTGCTCCTATACTGGGCTAATAATGAAGACGGGCATACGCCATACAGTGTGCTATGAGGGAAATTGTGCCCGAGGGAAATTGTGCCTTCGCCTACTCTTATATCGAAATCCAACTGCCAGGGGATCTTTTACGTGCATTCCAATATATACACGGGACCTCGGTTTTTCCTCTCATCCGAAGGACTAGACAGCTGTCCTTGTCAGGCCCTCCGTTCTGCACCACTGACACGGGGAAATCACGTCGGAAAATCCTGATGAACTTTCTCGGCCAATGCAGGGATCGAACACCCGACCTCCAGGCTAGCGAGCCAGCGTCTTAACCATCTAGCCACCGTGGCTCCCACGAATCATACAAGTTGTTTAGTAGTTTAATGAACGTTCTTGAAAAATTAATTCATTTTTAATGTTGTTATTAAAATAACATTTATTTATCGGTGAATGTGACAATATCTCTTTAAGAATACAACAGCCATTTTTACAAAACACTTTCCCTTGCCGTTGTTACGGATATTGTAGTTGTTGACGGTCAGTGTAGGAAACATAATTATTTTCCATGTTTCACAGAATCTCTTCCAGTATTGTCTCAATTACACATGCAGTATCCCAGCATTAGACGCTCATTAATAAGCAGTATTTGTATTCCATAGAATTGCGACCTGCATATTCTAGTTCAATTACTAAATGCCATTGAAACATCGTGTTGTGGAGACATTAATTTAAAGTTTGATATCTATATGCTATACTTAATTGCATCATCATGCAGGCAATGTTCAGAAAGTTATATATAAATTAATAATAAAACATACTACAAACAATACTAAGACCAAGTTTGAAAAATTGGATATTTCAAACATAAACGTAAGAAGTGGTTGAAAATGCTTTTCAAATGCTTCGCCTTGCTTCTCTCTAAAGCTTCAAGTTCGTTTATTCGTGGTGTCTTTGTTTGATTGTTTTCAATCTCATGACGTTACTATGAGCCCGCCGTTTATGTGATTGTTTGCCTGGAACGTTGTTTGTGTCGAAATTCTGAAAATCCCCAGAACAATTGAAATTTCGGGACAAGGAATTGATCGGGTCTCATCGTTTTGACTAACTCGTGACTCACAAATATCAATGTAGCTATCACGAAAGCCAGGGGGTCATCAATATTGTAAGAGATCTGATTTTAAGATGTGAATAAGCTTTGTCATGATAGTATTGATTGAAGTCACGTGGTGGTAATAAACGCAAACTAATAACAATATCATATTATCTTTAAATACATATTGATAAATATTCATTATAACAATACCTTATTATCCTTGAACTGCATGATTATAGGATACTTTAAGGTATGGTGGCTGATTGGTATCATGTCGTGGTGTTATGATGTCGTCCTTCATAAGGCGACAACCCAACATCACAACCCGACATTACGACATTTTAACCCCGACGATACGACATTTTCACCCGACACCACGACATTAAAAATGTCGTAAATATATCGTATTGTCGGGTTAAAATGTCGTGATGTCGGGCTGTCAGGTTGTAGTGTTGTCGGCCAAGGTCCTCTCCAAATGTAAAATATTATTATGTTGGTCAAGAAAGTTCCCCAGGATTTTGCAGCGTGATTTCTCCCTGACGGTAGTGCTGGACGAATGGCCTGGAAAAGAGCAGTGTCTAATTGTGTAGATGGGACAAAAACACAAGTTCCTGTGTAAACATTGGTGTGTACATCGATAGAATTCCATAGAAAATTTCTGTCATAGCAGTCTACATAGCGTATTCCTATCTTCAATAGTCCGATTGACGCAGCAAAGTAAGAAAATTGAATGAAATGAAATTGGGTTAAACGTCCTACTGGGTTAATGAAGACGGGTTATACGCTATACCGTGTATTATGAGGAAAACTTTGCCCGTGATAGCGGGGCTACGGCCTACTCTTATTGAATTCCAACTGTCAGGGGGTATTTTACGTGCACGCCTTCGGACTCGATTTTTCGTCCCATCCGAACGACTGTCATGGGGTCTTTTACGTGTACGCCTATGGCAATATGTACATGAGACCTCGGTTTTTCGTTACATCCGACCGACTGTACGGCTGTAGTAGTCCCATCCGAACGACTGTCATGGGGTCTTTTACGTGCTCGCCTATGGCAATATGTACCTGGGACCTCGGTTTTTCGTCCCATCCGACCGACTGTACGGCTGTAGTAGTACCAATTATAGTAGTTGAAGTCGTGGTAGTAGTAGTATAGAAGGTCTCCGTAGACTGAGAATGTATTAATAAAAATGCTCTACAATAGGAGGATGCCTTAAAAACCAAACATTAGACATCGTTATTTAAGTCCCCTAACGCGTGGGTTTTATCATAAGGTATGCCATCGATCCAATTCCCGTGGCTTCGATTCCATGCATGCGTATGTGTAGGAGTAGGATCGCCTGTACTGCCTTTAATCCTAGTGGACTTTTTCAGAGTACTCCGGCCAACGCAGGGATCGAACACGGGACCTCCAGGTTAGCGAGCCAACTTCCTACTCGCTGAGCCACCGTGGCTCCCATAGCCTCTAACAATCTTATTTCACTTATTTTCTACACAATTGTGCATTTAGAAAAATATACAATCGAAAATAAAAATGTACAAATCCTGAAAAGTAAACTTAAAGTGCCCTCTGAAAACCCTTGGTTTGAGCAACTTAATCGGACGCACCTGATACCACTTTTATTTTGAGGGGAATTTCTCATGGCTAACAATTTATTCAGTAGATCATTTCGACATCTTAATTTAATCAGATTAATACTGAAGTGTTTATGTGAAAAGAGATCTAAGCCTTGAACTGTGAACAATATAAATATCTTATCTTGTATATTGACACAAATTATCTGAACAATGTACCAAATCCTATAATAATCCCACAGTTCAGGTAAGATTACCACATGTTCACTGTACACGTTCAATCGTGCGTATGGACTTTATCGCGATTTAAGTAGACCAAGTACAGATTTTGTAGCCTTAAAGGTAGAATCCCAATTTTTGAGGGAAACGACCAGACACTGCCCTTGTCAGCACCCCCAGCAAGGGCTAAATCTATTTAAATTTGTTAAGGCCAGCTCAATTTTTATCAAGGTCGCTGTACTGAGATGTAAATAAGGTTAGGTCACGTGGTTGTTCTCGTTATTGTAGGTTAGGGTAAACATTGGGGCTAGATCCAGGGTTAGGTTTAAGAGTTTTGGGGAGAAGTTTAAAAGTCTCCACATAAGCACAATTCACCAAGAAAGTAAACATTTTAAAATTTAAATAATCCAAGACTTACATAAATATCGATGGTTATTAGAACCTTTAAATATCTCATTGACGGATTGACCTACATTTCGTTAATTTCGCATGCAATCTAATTTGAACACCCCAAGGTAACAGTTTAGTCAAGTCACGTCAAATCGAAAATTTACCGACTCAGGAAGACCTTAAAAGGCCAGTTAGGTCGATTTTGATCTTTTAAACATGAATTCTTGTATTTGGTTAAAATTCAGAAATGATACTCTCCTAAACAAGTTGGTCAACTTTAAGGATTACTTATTAAGATTTGATAAAAAGAAAAGTTTGCCAGATCTGGACAGCGATAACGCCTTAAATGGGACATTAAATTAAGCATTTTCAACGTTTTCCAAACAGCTTTCGGGATTTCAACCAAATTGGTATATACACTGCTTTAATGGTGGACAGAGAGGAGACACCATAAAGTGACAAATGTAGATGTTGTCAATCCTTTCAACTTTTTCTCACCAACATAATGGATTTCAATTTTATAGGAATATTGCTTGTATGGAGCTTATTCTGGTGTGTTCAAATAAAGATGCGTTACCCTATATTAGACATTTTTGATAGGTATGCTGCTCGGGTGGTGCTTATTTACATTTTAATAGTAAAGAGGGGAAAATAGGGTAATTCTAGATATTTCTATTTACCATTTAAATCAAATTTTGAAGGAAAGTGGGTTTAACTATATATTTTATAGTCGTTCTAAAAAATACAAAGGTGACACTTTATGATAAAAAATATTTTCTTAAAATGGTTAAAAGGTATATCATTTATAGTTCCAAAATGGACTGGAAGGCCTTCAAACTTCAAAGTAGAACAAGATAATTTGAATTCTTATTTTGGAACCTTTTCTCGAATCATTCAAACAAGGCAAAATAGTCAAGAGTAATGTCTTGAATGACTAGTATTTTTTAATCAAACTTTACAAGCTACTAAAGCATTGTCTTGGGCGTCCAATTTTGAACCATTTTGGGCATAGTTACGTTGTGGAAATAGCAGTGTCGCTGGAACCAATAATTTGCAATTATGTATTCATTAGTTTAAAAATAGCCTGAGTTTAGCTAGGTACGTGGTATGCTGACAGCGACACCCCCATCCCCTACCCCCCCCCCTCCCCAAACACACACACACACACACACACACAAACCCTGAGCTCTTACCACACGTTAAGATTTAAATCGTCTTACAGGTAAGCTTCCGTTCATGCGAAACCATAACTTACCTCCCTTATTTACGCTTATATAAGAATACCATATTAAACCAAAAGAGGGCGTTATGCTTGGTGTTCATCTAAGAGTATACAAATGTCACGTGTGTGTACCGGTTGATATAGGTAAAAATAAAAGATAAGGTTTGTAACTCGTGGTTAATCTATCTCGGCAGGGTATTTAAAACACAATCAGCGTTTTCTACAACTCAGTTATTTGTTCTGCTGTCCTGAATTTAGACCACATCGAACTCTGTCTTGTTATCATTCATAATGTTTACTTTGAAAGCAGCTTTGTTTGTAGCTATTGTAGCGGTATGTTCAGCTCACATGTGTCTGCTGAGTCCTGCACAAAGAGGTTCATTGATGGGCTTCAATAAAGCAGGTAAATATAAATTCATGTAATGTAGCTTTGGCTCAGTGAGTAAAGGGTTGATTCACTATTCCAGAAATCGGGAGTTCGATCCCGGTGATGGATGAAAAGGGTTCCCGGATGTTCCAGCGTGGCCTGCCCTTCCCAGAATAGTGTTTAGTCGTTCGGATTGAACGAAAAACCGAGGTCACGTGTACACGTTGGCGTGCATGTATAATAACTATTGATAGTTGAAATTCTAAATAAGAGTAGGCGGTAGCTCCGCTGTCTGGGCAAAAGTTCGCTCATAACAAAGTCATTCATAAAACACTGAACAAAAAGGTGAAGCAACGTGATAAATCAATTCTCGGTTAACATAATAATAATAGATTCCATAAATGTAATAAAGCAAAGAATTAAATTTATACTTAATTGATACTGTTTTACTCAAGTCCCACACGCATGGAATGGTGACAAATTGCCTGACCTTGGCTAGATAATGATTGAATGAAATTGGTGACATAATAAAGTTGATATTTTTTTCTCGTAGGTGCTAATGACTGTATTTTGTTGAAATCTCCATGTGGTGGACGACCAAAATCAGACAATGTGATAACTTTAAGGTAATTTGAGTTCGAATCCGTCTTTGCTAGTTGAATCTATCTTTCATAAAATATAATTTGTTTAAAATAGTATTGTCATGCAAAAAAGAGCATTCTTTATATATTAATTTGGACAGTTTACCCCTTTTTATGGTTAACGCGTGCGCGTTGCATCATAATGTATGTCATTGCTGGCGTGGTTTCGATTCCCCACTTCTCCGTGACAAGGAGTAGGATCGTCTGTCCAACCTCGTGGGTTTTCTCCGGATCCTCCAATTTCCTCCCACTGCTAAAGACCCCTACGCGCAAGTGAATTATAGAAATAAAATTGAATCATGTTAGCCCCAAAATGACCTAGTTGGTGTTGAGTTGTCGTTAAACCCCATTTCTCTCTCTTTGTTTTTCATCCCACAACTAGGCACACTTTCCGTGTCATCCTGCGTCAGTCCTGACAACGGAAATCGGCCTTGATAAATCCCGAAGGTTCTCTTTGCGCATGCCTGGATACGAACCCGGGAAAAAAACTGGACCATTATTTGATGACACCAAACTAATATGAACATCCATTTATTTTAATTCCAGGTCGATGCAAAATTTTACTGTTGTCATTCAAAAGAATTTAGATCATTGGGCACAAGCAACACCAGTAAGTACTGCTTCATTTTTTGATGTCAGTGTTCAGATCACGTGAACAAATTAACCAATCAAATCATAGGTAGAGATGTTCGGGGCTGTGTTATTGCTTGTGCGTGTGGGACGTATAACACAAAGTAGACTAATCGAGCATCTCATATATTTGATAAATCCTTTCTTTGTTGTTCTTTATAGCAATAAATTAAATAAAATGTTGCGCGGTTTGAATATTGTTCAGTGGGCATTACATGCATATGGATGACATGCTATAAATAGATTTGATTTTGATTCATTCATGTCGAAATTGACATAGGACCTACATTGGTAGCGAAGCAGATTTGTTACTTAGCCCGACTGGGTGTCTAATAAATTAATGGTCCTGGAATAACAACGTGTAACGTTCTAACAAACAGTGATATACATCCAAACAATGGTTTATAATACTATACAATTTTAACATTTGCAGGGACAATTTACATTTAATATCGCCCAACCTGATGGATCTGGTATAAAGGAGTTGGGTATGATTCCTGATATGGGAGAACCATCTTTGACTTTGTACGCTTTGAACGTCACCATTCCTTCATCAAGGTACGTCTACTTTTACTACATAGTTACACCCAATAGTTTTACTTGGCTTAAATTAATAGTCTTTGGTGGGGGTATAGCGCCAGAGTGGAGGGGATAGCAACTGCATCGGGATAAAATGTTGTTTTTCTGTCTCATGATTACGTCACTGGACATACGGCCTAAATTTACTGTGAGAGTCGTATAATTAAGACGCTGAATTCGCGATTAGAATGTCCGGGATTTTTACTTTGAAATAATAATGTCCAAGGTTATTTGAAACTTAAATATGGATGATATGCTAATATCTGGTCGGCAGACACGGAGAGTGCTAAAAATCAAGCTTTAGGGGACATAAGATTCTGTCCTATTTGCTGTGTACATCCAAGAAGTTATATTTTCGGTTCACGTGTCTTTTGTATTAATTAATATGGGTTTGTTTTTGTATTTCAGTGCCGGCAATTATATTTTACAGGTAGGTTTGTTTCTTAAACAATATATGTCACCCAGAGCACGACATAAAATGTTTAGCCTAATGGTGCATATCATAAATTGGCGGGACTCGAGCTGTATTGCCGTCGCCCCCTTTCGTCACCAATCCCCCGGCCGTCGATGAGCCAGCTTTGTCCATCGTTCACAATGTGACTACAGACTGGTATCTTTTATTTCGTTTTAATGCAATGTTTCGTTTCTGGGGATATGTATCTAATTATGTTGTCTAAGCCGTGTTCGAGGGGGGGGGGGGCTGACAGGTTAACACGTTTGATCAGAAGGTCTGTCATTGCGTCAAGTGGTGTGGTTTGGATTCCCCGCAGGTACGTGACAAGGAATAGGGTCGCCTGTCCAACCTGGTGGGTTGCTAACCTGGTGGGTCCCGCTGCTAAAGACCCCTGCGCTCAAGGGAATTAGTGAAATAAAATTGAACCATGTGTTAGTCCCGAAATGACCTAGTTTGTGTCGATTGGACGCTAAACTCTCTCTCTCTCCCCTTCTCTCTCTCTCTCTCTCTCTCTCTCTCTCTCTCTCTGATGAATTAAGACTGAATTTTGTTGTTTTTTGTATTTCAGACACAATATGTCACCAAGAACCCACAAGCTCCCTCAGTGTTCTACCAGTGTGCCGATATCATGATTATGTAAACTGAATTATATTTAAATATTTGTTGATAGAGAAATCTGAATTGTTATGGCTATATTAAACGACTGGTTAACGTAATGTTTAACAAATATATTATTATTTGGAACGATTTGGGGACAAAACCTGACACACTTTTAGGTTTAAAATCAGCGAGTTAATTTGAATGAAAATTAACCGTTACTGCGCCGCAACTGTACATAAATAGATGAAAAATACGATTGTGAATTTTTCTTCTTTTATTTTACAGGGCAGAGCAGGATAAAACACATATTATTGGTTAAAAGTGAAATATTGCCCAGTCAGGGGTAAACCCAATAAAAATGGTGAAACGTTTAAATATTGTTTTACATTTTTTTTACAAAGTCGTAAATATAGCCACTGCAACCAATATATAAATCGTATAGTCAGTTTGCTGAAATTCATCATTACATTACATAATGGTTATGCGCACAAATACTTATCTCAGAAATATTTATGTTCACGGTTTCAATTCATTCAAATTGTTATTTTATTATTTGATAATAATATGTTGTTGTCATCCTTAATACTGTGTATGTTTGCATTTGCTATTAGACAATGAAAAAAAATTGAGAAAACGTACGAAATTGCTTATAAGAATGAAGTTGTCGCCCTTTAACTATAACTAATTCTTGTATTAGTGTTTATCGTCCGATTCCACGGAGGACGATATCGCAGACAATTCATCTTATTTTGCTGGGCTGAGCGTACCCGCGAGGTGAGGGTGGGGGGGGGGGCCTGTGGGAGGAAACCCAGAGTACCCGGAGTAAACCCTATAGAGCTCGAAGCTCGACACACTAGGACATCTCAACTATAACTGCGATAGAATAATTTTTATACACCCGTATTTTCATGTGAAAGTATATTGTCTGTGATCACTCTAGAGGTCATAATTTTTATTTTGACGAAACCTGAAATTTAGGTTTATATCCTTTCGATATTGGCGGACCGTAACTTCATAGATTATGGCCCCTGATTGTACGAAAAATCACACTTTTAGCTTGTGAACTATCCGTTCGAAACTACCCTACAAAATGGTCGCTCTTCGTGCGCAAATCGTGTAAAATTATTTAAAGGAGCTAAAGCTCTATTCTTTGGCCCCTACAAATGGACACAAATGGGTCACAACGCATATAATAGTGTATTATGTATGTATATAAACTGATTTATATTCAATAGGGTTTTTTTACTGTAATTTACTGATACTGATAGTCCAAAATTGTTTGACAGCCTTTGGTGCCTGGTTATTCCAGTCTAGGCCGTTAATATTCTCCTGTTACATATTTAGCCTCGTTCGTCGAGTCGCAGTATTACAAGTCGCGCTCGAAAGCCTTCTGGCACGCGGTTCGTGTGCCAATTTTAAAATTTTAATTTTGTCTTAAATGTTGGATATCAGAAGCCCATCTTTTCGGGGTAAGATCACAACACCAATGTTGGTGTTTGTAATGTCGAAGTCTGTGGATGATATTGAGTAAGAGACTTGCCTCCGTTAATACCAAGGTTGTAGAACCTCTAAAGGTCACATTTTTAATGAATTTTGATAAAACTTGGTTCCTGTCGATATATCGGATCGTCACTTCCTGGATTAGGGAACCTAATTGTACGAAATGACCGTTGCACCATAATGACGGTTGAGTTCGAATTTCGTGACAAATCGGTCCAAAACTGCCCGACAAAATCGCCGCTCCTTGTACGCAAATAGTGTAAAAGTATGTAATACCAAAGTTGTTGACCATCTAGAGGTCACAATTTTTATCGGATTTTGATGAAACTTGAAATGCATTTTTGTAATTCATAGATCTCGGTTCCTTTTGATATTCGCGCATATCATGGATTATGGCCCCCGATTGTACGAAAAATCGCTTTTTTTTAGCTTGCTCTCTGTCCATCTCTTGCAAAATGTGGGCTTATCTTGCATGACAACCGCTTGTTATACTAAGGAATTGCAAGAAGTGGAATTCGTTTCGGGCATCGCCGTATATGGAGGTGTTTCATATGCACTACCAATTAATCTTCCATTATCCAAACGAGTAGACACAATTTATTTTTCAGTCTTATTGTCGTTAGCCTGAAAAAAGTAGGAATCGAACTTTAAAATCTCCACGGCTATGTACTCGGAAATTAGAACCCGGAAACTTCTGGTGGTCGCGAGGCAAGTGTCCTAACCACACAGCATAAGCGAAGATAACTAAGACGTACTCAGTTATGAAGGCGGGCCCAACTATACCCCGTGATGAGGTCGGAACTCACCATTGCACAGATGGCAATGAAGTATGGTCTAATCTGTGTCTTTAAAGGAGCAGTCCCACATTATATGTTATATCGTATCGGGGGGTTTGGGCGAATGGTTAGCGCGTGCGTGTTGTAGCATAAGGTTTGTCATTGAGTCAACTGGCGTGGTTTCGATTCCCCGGTTGTACGTAACAAGGTGTAGGATAGTGTGTCCAAACTCGTGGGTTTTCTCCGGGTCCTCCGGTTTCCGCCCACTGCTAAAGACTCCTATGTGCAAGCGAATTATTGAAATAAAATTAAACCATTGTGTTAGTCCCGAAATTACCTAGTTTGTGTCGAGTGGACGTGAAACCCCATTTCTCTCTCTGTAACTATACCTGAAGTTCTTTTGATATGAATAACGAACTCTCAGTTTCCATTTGGGGTTGGCGGTAAGTCTCCTAATTCCACGCCGTGTATGTGACTGGGTAACAATGTTAAAGTGGTAATTGATCATCGCAATTATCAAGTCACTCATATCAACATACCAACGAAGAATAAAATTACTTTCATGACGAGTTACGTAAATCTGCAGTTAAGCAAATCCTCCAATTTTATATATTAATCGTCATATTTTGGGCGTCATTTATACATATTTAAACCGACATTTATTTACGGTAGTCTGTGATAGAGTCAAACATCCTACTAATAAAGACGGGTATACGACATATTACCGTGTGCTATAAGGGAAAATTTGCCTGAAAAGCGGCGCTACGGTCTAGCCTACACATATCAAATTCCAACTGCCAAGGGATCTTTTATGTACATGCCAATGTGTACACGTGACCTCAGTTTTCAAACCCATCCGAACGACTATACGGTACGTGTCCCTTGTCAGACCCTCTGTTCTACATCATTGACGGGGCCAATATAAATGATGAGACTGTTAACTATTAACATTGATTAGAATTAACTAATTAATTTCCTATTGATTTGAACAGCATGAGAAAGTTCTGATCGTTGCTCTTCTCATCCGAGATAACACCGTGATAATATCAAAACTATCTCAGTGAGTTGTTAACACGTGTTTGTTGTTGGCCGTTTCCCCGGCTTAATTCGTCAAAGGATGTGACTGCAGGTAACGTTTTTGTTTTAAATGTTTAGAAAAAAATTGGATAACGTTCGAAATTTTGTTGACCCACCTCGCCGCTCTATTTTTGTTTTCCTGTCGGTGATGGTTCGTCGACGATTTTTATCTCCCGTAGTTGATACACGGCGACAAATAAACGGCAATGTGATGATCTTTCGGTCGTGGTGGTCATGTGTTTAGTGTGATATGTATTCATAACGACAGGGATGTGTTCGGATAGTATCAGAGGAGAATGTTTAGTTTCAAGAACAAAGGCCCTCAACACTCTTTTAACCTACTAATAGTAAACAAGACTATATTATCAATAGTAAGCAATCTATTGAGCTCCAAAACATACGCTTTACAAACTAAATAACAACTATATTATTAGGCTGGGGCTATTATTATGATTACTACTTATACTCAGGCTATTTTGGTTTAATGACCTTTCCAGTTATACTATTTGAATGCTTTGCCATACTGCTTTATTCAAATTTCTAACGACGCAGAGATATCGACCCTAGCTATCGGCCTACATAGTTATAAATTATAGAATATATCACATTATAATATTAGCGATTATTGTGGATGTTCTATTGGAATTTAGACATTTAATTCATTTTTATGAAGATTAATAATGTGGATAGTGCTTTAAGAAATGTCGGTTAGTGATGACATAATAGAGTGTAAAATCATGTACTTATTTTAGACGATAACTTTTGGAATATAGATGTAGGCTTATCATCAATTGCCTGAATAATTATGTGTCATCCTATATGAATAACAAAGATGGAATATTAGGATAAATTTAAGGTAACTGCACATAAATATTCGTGGTATCGTTCACCTTCCAGTACAGTTCGTCAGTTGATGATATTTTTAAGAGGTCTCTTGTCTTACGATGGTGTTGTCCTGCGTCTAGTTCGGATTCACTTTGATGTCCATATGCCATTGGCTTTGCGCCTTTTTAAATGTAGACCTATATTGTCGTCATCTGCGTCTGTCCAGTTTTTCTTGTGAACGCTCTACACACTAAAGTTCTTGCATTTTTTTTTTAATTTACAGAGGTTATCTTTTTGGTCAAAAGGAAGAATCCTATGTAAATTTAGAATTTATCGAAATGACCCGAAGACGTGCGCTAGCCGTTAAATTAGTATTTTGGTGTCTTTTTTAATTGATACATATCAGCCGGGAGTTGTATTTACCCATATATATAGAGAGAGAAACGTTAGCATCCTTACCTCCAATTAGAAACCGGTGTCTTGGTTTGACAAGGTACCTTTTTTGGCTCTGTTTTTCAAGACCTTCATAATTTTTGCAAGTAGAGTGGCAGGCGTATAAACATAGTACACAACAGACCTAACAGAACACATATTTACGGAAACAATTTGCATAACTAAATAAGAAATAAATATCCCAAACGAAGATTTATATTACTCATCAAACGTTGGGTTGTTGAAAGGTTTCTAGCACACATTTTATAAAGACAATGAAAATGCATATGAAACAATTTTCGGCTCTTATATTAGGTTCAGTATGAAAACGGGGACCAAGTAGACACGAAAAACGATGTTAATTCACCCATTCACAAGGAACCGGGCCATTTGGTGTAGTATTTTTTATTTATTTGTTTATATCTTTTTCTTTTATATCAAATATCAATAGGTTTATTGTCTATTAATATGTAGGTCCAAGATTTCTAGTTTTGTAACTAAACGCGGATCGGTATCGAGCCAAATCGCGATGTTTTGTAGCGTTACCACAGAGTTTTACTCTGTGGCGTTACTATACTAGTTTAGCCATAATGTACTTACTCAATGTTATATACCAATTACTGGACCTACTGGTAATACTAGTTTGGCTGGTTGCGTTAATATAAACCATATTTAATAAACATGTTTATATATTTGGTAACATACTGTTAAATTAGTTTGAAAAACATACGGTATATCTTAGCTTAAAGAGAAGTTGCACAGACCCTTGTGAATATGGAATTTTGGGATTTTTTGCTTAATGCGTGCGTATAGGTATAAATATCGGAATTTTGCACCCACCAAAACCCTCACACATTTTTCTAAATCAATGAATACTTAATGTTACGTGAAGTGTGCCAGGACTTTGTCGATCATGCCTTCGGGTATGGGTGATTAATGGCACTATAATAATTAGTTGGGGTTGGGGTGTCCAAAGTTTTCGGCTTATATTCTGCTTTTCATATTTTGCGATGTTTCCGCTCCTGTCCACATAAACGAACCGTTTAAACCACGAACTTGTCTCGTAAATGGTATGTATATTAACAAGTATGTATGCAATAAATCAAAAAAGCTTTGAAAGTTTCCTAGTAGGCGATGATAGATTGAATCCAAACATGATCAACTACTTCACTTAAAGATATTAAAAACAAACAAAGGTACATGAAAATCCACTTTATTTTGTTCAGAGAACTTGGATCTGTGGGAATTTATTGACGAAACGGATTTTCATATAGATTAAAGATTTTGGCATTAAGTGTAATATTATTTCCGGTGTGTTAATTTGTTTATTAAATTTGTACTTGAAGAGGAGAATATAAAGATCCTTTCCTTAAAGATGCATTATAGAGCTAAACCTGCCCAATTTACATGCCCTTCTTTTGATTTCAAAAGTTATATAAATTATTAATTAGACATTAATTCACGTAGCAAGCCCATAATCAACTCTCTAGGCCATCGGATGGCCGTAATTTTCAATGGATTGAAACAAGATCGCCATTTAATAATTAGATCTAAAATTGGAAAATTGAGACTATGTTTATTATCGTACTTGACGGGGGGGGGGGGGATGGCTGTCATTGAGT